AACTGTGGTATTTTTGAAAGAGGATATATTTATATGTTGTCTGAATAGAAACATTTGTTGTTTGATTGCAAAACTTAGTACAAATGTTTTTTTCCCTTTCAATATTAAAATATCCTGGCATAATAAATGCTGGGTTTTTTTTACCATGCTCAAAGTGTGACTCTTTATAGAATGTGAAACAAAAAATAATGGGGAGGGAGAATATTTCTGGAACAAATGTCATCTGCTGTTTGTTTCCTCACAAATAAGACAGTAGTTGTTTAATTGGGAGGAAAAACGTCAGAACGTGGCTGAACTGGTGAACTGGCTTGCACTGCTGAAGTCTGGGCCAAAGCTGTCAGGGTGGTGCTGCTGGTGAGGAAATGAGTCTATGAGAAAGTAGAAACAACTAGCAGCAAATTCAAGTTCCTCAGGTGAGGCAAGTTCCTGCATTCCTTGTGTGCCTAAAAAACCCACTGAAGGCAAAGAAGGTTTGGAAAGGGCAAGGAACATGGCAGAGTGGGGTAGCAGTGGTTCTGTGCCACTATGGGCTTGTCTGCTCTTGGAAATTTACCAAAATAGCTATTCTGGAATAATTATTTCGAAATAGTTATTTTGGAATTAGCCCCTGGGTGTACATTCTTCTTCTGGAACAAGAGTGCCTTTTTCTGTTTTAGCTTAGTCCACTGTAGAAATGTTGATAGATCAAAATTCTGAAAAATTTCAACTAGAAAATGCTGAAAGGTTTTGTTTTGGGATGGGTCGACATCCGCTTGTGTCACTGCAGTGCCTCATAGGAGTTGTAGTTCTGGGTCCTTCATGGCACCATTCTCTCCGATAGGTCCTGCTCCCTGGTTGGATGACATCTCCTAGGATGTATTGCAGGCTCCCTGTGACTGAGCTACTATAGGCGCATATTTAGTCCATATCAGGGGGGAGGGATAGCTCAGTGGTTTGAGCATTGGCCTGCTAAACCCAGGGTTGTGAGTTCAATCCTTGAGGGGGCCATTTAGGGATCTGGGTCAAAAATCTGTCTGGGAATTGGTCCTGCTTTGAGCAGCGGGTTGGACTAGATGACCTCCTGAGGTCCCTTCCAACCCTGGTATTCTATGATTTTTGTCTTCTATTGAATTTTTTGACAGAAAATTTTGCTGACATCTCTCATTTCCTGTGAAAAACTTTTGATTTTGATGAAACTCCATTTTCCAATGGGAAAACATTTTATTAGAAATTTTCTGACCAGCCTTTCTTCCAAGACAGTGGACACTGCCATAAAACAGTGAGAATAAGTGAGGGTTTGTTTTTTTACTGTTGTTTTAGTGTTCAGAGCTGTTACTAACCTGGGGATGACTATACCTATTGTAAATAAAACATATACTTCTATAACACATTCCAACTGATGATATCAAAGGAATTTTCAAACAATGACTGTATTTTTTACAGATGAGGTAGCTGAGATACCGAGAAGTTGCCCAAGATTACACAGAAATCTCTGGCAGGGGATAGAACCCAGGTTTCCTGACTGCCAGACTACTGTCCCTTAACAGCAAGACTCTCCTATCTTTTTGAGAGCATGAAGGGAGAGCAGGGCTAGAGGGAAACTTGTAAGAGAAGGCTTTTTATTCTTATTCCTTGGATACTCTTTACACTTACGAGCATGATAATTTTGTTATAAACCACCACTCAGCCAGAAATCCTCAATGAGGGATATTCATGAGAGATATTTTAAGCCATCCCTCATTATCTTAGGCAATTTAAGGTCATTTTAAAAAGGTGTTGTTTTCATTTTATGAGAGACGCTTACACAGCTACAACTTAACATTCCAGAATTGTTACATCACCACACTTTCCTGCCTCAGGACTTCTTTTTTGATTTGATTTGCAACTCCTGCCAGCAAGACATGTTACCTAAGCAAGGCTTATCTCTTTACATCATTTCTGCTGATGATTTTCTATTACTTAAGGATAGACTATTCCTGCCTGATAAGAGCTTCCAAGTTGTTTGTGTAAAATGTTGTGTGGAGGCCAAACACCATTTTTATATGTAGAGTGCATAATAATATCGTTCTTTGAGAGGCAAATATCTTTCAATTCAGTAGCATTGCCAAGACCCACAACACACTGACAAGCAGAGACTCTGTTAAAAGCAGGCACAGCAGCTTGCTTAGGACAGGAGGGGCAGGTGTTGCAAATCTGAGAAAAGATATTCGTCATTTTAGAAGTCAGAGCAAGGAGCCCTGGGATCAAGTGTTCAAGCTCTCTTTTTAATACTTAAAGACTGTTTTACCGATCCCTTGAGAGTACGGATTTGGGGTGAGAGATTGCTTCAGTATTCAGCCAAAGGAGTCAAGAGCAGAAAAAAGTTCCCTTTTAATTAGGCTTTTCTTAGACCAAGGCTCCGGAATCTTGTGGCTACTGTGCTTTTGTCTTAGTGCAACAGTAGCATAAATAAATTGCAAAACAATATAGAGATTATTAGGAAAGACACACATTTTATTTATTCCATCTCCTTCCCCCTTCAGTCCCTGATCCATCTCAGAACCTTTCATATCCAGCAGACTTACAGCTCCTTTTCATTTCAGTGTAATTATTTTGGTCTAGCACATGTCTTGCTCATTTACAGCCAGAGGAAACTTCAGGAACTGGAAATGTGTAATGCTCACTGTCATTAGCTAATCAAGGGAGGTCACTGATATTGAGTTTGTCATCCACTGAGTCTGTCGTTAATGTGTGATGGGTGAGGAATCAGGGCTGTTGGTTCAAACCTCTATCGAGTCAGGATTAGAATAATCCTTTCCTTAGTAACTGGAGCACACGTAGTCCCACACTGGCTTCCTGTGTGGACCTGAAGAAGAGCTTCAGTTGTATTCAGTAGCAATAAACCAGCAGATGTGATTCAGGAGAGGAAGGCAGGGCTGAACTGACAGGGGAATCGTTCCTTTCCAGCCAGTGCTAAGCAGGCTGGTAGCGTCTAGTGCTGGAGATCAAATGCTTTATAAAACATACTATAGTCTATAAATAGTGGGCGGTATAGCAATGTATCTTCATGCAGTACAGATGTTCTTTCATAACTTACAAGGGACTAAATTAATCATGTTATAAGTCAGTCTAAACAAATGGTCTTTATTTTTCTTAGAAAATGACTTAGCCAGAAAAATGCAGATCCAGGCTTTCTAAAATCTAAGTTTAGGCAGGAATTTTAGAGGAAACAGGTGTTTTAGTGCCTCTGAGTTTGCATCCTGATAAGAAGTTTGCATTTAACAGTTGAACAGACCCAGGGTTTACATACTCATGCTGCATCCAGATATTTGTACAGAATGCCCTTTGATTTCAGTGAGTAGCTTTGCACGTGGAATGATAGCATAGTGTGGCCTCAGTTTGTCTAACTGTTTTTCAGACTAAGATTAGTTGCTCATCAATTACGTTCTCCAAAGAGGCAATTTATCCAGGCCTCCTTCAACTGCTTTTGAAGGAGCTTAGTTATACAGCTTCAGGCAGAGGTCACTGAATGAGGTCGGTTACTCTCTAGTCTCAGGGATGGGGGAAGAAGAAATAAGGTGCGATTTCCACTAATAAAACCAGTCTAATTGCTCCAATAAAGATCATATCTCCACCTGTGAAGCAAGCCAGTAGTTTTCAGATGTCAATTTCATCCACCTGCAGATCCTCACACGCAAAATGATGCTTTTCTTCCAAAAAAGAATAACTTTGAAAGTCCAAACAAACCTTTCTAGAACATGAGTTGAAATGATTTCACAACTCTTTGTTCCCTTTTTTGAAAATCTACTCATTAGCAATGAAAACAAAACTATAATAAGCCAAAAGTCTCAGAAGTTTTCCAAAGGCCCAAAATGGAAAAGTCTGAGTCTAGAAAGAAAAACACCTGACCTTCTTGCCAGTATAAACTTCAAGATGAAAGTTTAAACTATGGCACCTTCTGGTCCCTCACTTCCTGCTCAAGTCTCCCTCCCTCTTCTGTCTGCTCCAGGTTAATATGCATTTATTTACTGATGGCTGTGCCAGTCAACTGTTCTACATCCTGTGAAACAGAATGGGTTTTACAACACTGTTCCTCACCATGATACAGGTGCCCTGTATCATGCAGTAGGCACGTACACTGAAGACAATTGCCAAGTTTTATATTTACTTTAGGTTTTATATTAAAGTATCCCTTCTTATCACCATTATCTGGCTTCCTGTTCTTCCAGGTAGGGACATATTGTCACCACTTAATTTTTTTTAAATGTCACATCCCATTGAGACCTCTCCATCAAGACCGTGCATCATAAAAACTGGGCATTTTATTTAATTACACAAGGTAAATATGGCTTGGCTAATGAGCAATACACCACACTGCCTTATGCGTTCTAAACTCTTATGTGCTAACAAAGGCAGTGGGTGGAGTCAGGGCCGACTCCAAGCACCAGCATAGCAAGCATGTACCTGGGGCAGCCAATGAAGAGGGGAGTGGCACGTCTGGCAGTTCGGCGGCAATTCGGCGGCGGGGCCGTCACTCCCTCTGGGAGCAAAGGAACTCCTGCCGAATTGCTGTCATAGAATGAAGCTGCGCTAGAGCTGCCGCCAAATTGCCACGGATCGCGATAGTGGCTTTTTTTTTCCCCCCCCTCCCTGCTTGGGGCAGCAAAAACGCTAGAGCCGGCCCTGGGTGGAGTGTTATGGAGCAGATGTGCCTTAGGGATGGGACGATGTTACCACATCTGTCACCAGCCGCTCCTCTAGGAGCAGACCCAGAATAGTCTCCCTTTGCTATGGAGTCTGGTGCCCATTATGCACCTGACTTTTCTTCTTGTCCCTGTGCAGCATGTGTTCAAGCAGGAAAGAGAGGGATTTGCAGGAATAAATAGCAGCCCACTAAGAAGCAAAGTGAGTGTAAACCCAGCACATCATTCTTACTTGTACATTTTTAAGCCCTCAGGCTCAGTCTTTTTATTTATTACCCTACTGTTGCCTAATGCACATAACCTGCTTTGAAACAAAGATCTGAAGGTCAAGGCACCCACCTTGCTGTTGAAAGGTGAACCATCAGTACCACCCAAGCTTCTCTGCACAGATGGTGGGACTTGGTAAACATCTTGCTCCTGTAGACCATGGCCAGTAGGTACCTGGTAGATGCCCTGATTCAGATGGGAAGGTGGCACCTGGTATACCGGGTCCCAAGTTGAAGCCTGTGAGCTTGGCATTTGGTAGACTTTCTGCTGGTTATAGGCATGATGCATTGATCTTGAATTGGATGTGTCCTGGTTAGACGGACTATCCTGTACTGGGCCTATCAAAAGTTTCACCCGGTTGCCTGGAACAATGCCTTGTCGGCCATGTAAAGAGCAGAGCCACCATCCTTCCAGCCCTTCAGTGTTCTGTTCTATCACTGTCAAAATGTCTCCTTTGCGGAAGGCCAGCTCCTCTGCGCACTCTGGGACATTATCATACAAGGCTCTTGCCATAAGATTCTATAGAGAGATTGGGGGGGGGGGGGAAAGAGAGAGAAATTGAACATGAATTAGAATTTCAACAGCACCCATTCAGAGCTTAAAGCACATTCAGTCCTGGATGCATCTAGCTTCCTGGGAGGAATAAGAATTGATTTAAAAAAAGAAGTTAAATAACATGAAAAAGACACAACATGGAATTTCTCCCTCCAAAAAAACCAGGAAAAATGCCAAGTTTACATTACAGATAGCATTGCTGGGAAATCTCTCAGCATCAATAAGAGCCAGGTAGAGACTATCAGCGTATACCAATAACAAAAAGGCTTTTCATGTATGCTGTTGGCCTGACCGCAGAGGAATCCAGGCATTCCTGAGTTTTACTCCCCGCTCGGACACCTATTCCTCCTATTACTTTGAGCAAGTCAGGTCACTCCTCTGCCTTAGTTCCCCAATTTGTATAATAAGGGTAACAACAATACTTGCCTGCCTCACAGAGGTGTGCTGATTAACTAAATTACAGTTAGAGTCCTAGTCACCTGAAAGGAATTTTTCTAAGTGATATAATTCAGAAGATCAACTGGGAGAATATAATCTGAGGGCCTGAGTTTGTCTGAATGATCAGGGTGGTTACTATTTACACTTACGAGCATGAGAATTTTGTTATAAACCACCACTCACTGGTGCTTGTTCTTATCCAAATCTCCCTTTCCTCATTCTTTCCATAATCTCCTTTGCCATGGAATGCTGTATAACACTTTCAGTCTTATAGAGATAAAATGTCAATTGATGATAATGCCCAAGAACTGCAGGGCAGGGCTTTTACAGTATATCTTTGTTTCCCTCTGTGTACAATGAATATGCCTGTTGAGGGAATGCTCTCTCATCATTATTATTAAACATTTATATTTCCAAAATGTCCAGAGGCCCCAGTTGAGGTTATGGACACATTGCACTAAGTGTTGTACAAAACCATACTGTGCTGTCCTTATCCCAAAGCCCTTCCATCTAGTTATATAACTTTATTACACAAACCTATCCAAACATATCTAAAAATATGCGGTCGCCTTTCACAGACCAAACACACTTTCCCTCTTGCTCTCTCTTTCTGTATGCATGTCTGTCTGTCTGTCTGGCACATTCAGTACTGAGTAGTCAGCCAATGAGGTATTCAATGGAAAGTGGGCAGGCAGTGTATGCTGACATTCCTGGAACCCTCACAAAGGCCCTCAGCATTTCATTTCTTGGCTCTGGTGATGTTTCCAAGTGCGCTGGCAACTACTACTCCACGCCTGCCTGCTTTGCAGTGAAGGCAGTCGGCAGAGACAGTTATAAACTAATTGTAAGCACTTGGGAAAAATATAAGGGGTACTGTATTTGAAGTGCTGTAGTTAAAATATTTGGATGCGGTGCACATAAATGAAACCGTGCTAATTTATTGAAAGAAGGGATGTGGCTTGCTTCAACTGGCTCATGGATTTACCTTGCCTCATTTAAAAGGATGCTGACAAAGACTTTTTAATGATGGTTTGATTTGGTGTATTTTTATCCTTCCCCTCAGACATTTCAAAGCAATATTTTTTTATCCCCACTTGTCCTCTTTTCTCATTGATCTCCCTCCTTCCCCCATGCTTCTTAGAGAATATCCAACCTTACTTGGCTTTTCTTAGCTCAATGCTCCCCATAGCACATGAAGGACTAACTGGGGGGTGCAGAAGACGTATACATGAAGATGGGCAGGCCTGAAGTGGGTGCATGTGATTTGGTTTCATTTTTCCGAATGTGAGCTCAACTTCCAAAAGTTTGGGAACCGTTGGCTTAATTTGTCTTTTGTCAGCATTATCGCTGAGGTCAACATGAAATAAGGTTTGGTCTTACCTGGGTGGACAGAACAACCATTTTAAAACCATATTGCAAATTAAAGCTACAGCACTAGTGCCAAATTCCTCCCTGGGGTAAGTCCATTCATATAATGCGCCTTTGATGACGAGAGATTTCAGTGGGGTTACTTTAGGGAGGAATTTGGTCCCTTTCTTTACAGGGCTGTAAGATTATCCTGTAGCATGGTTAGAGTTGTTCCATCTGCCCTGTTACATCACAATCCCCTGACTATAAAGATTTTTCTGTTAAGTTGGGCCCTAAGAAGTTCAGAAGGGAAGGACTCCGGTGCAGTCTATTTAATTGGATTAATCTATTATCTATCTACATGTACTTCTAATGTGCCTTTCACTGTAGTGATTAGATCTCAAGTCTCAGTCCTTTTTGGCTAGCTGTGGCTGTTTAATGGGGCCTTTGAAGGTGGAGTGGTCAAAGATGGGGAAAGAGAGGAGGAAGACTGCAGAAGGTCCACCAAAATTTCCAAAGTAAATCAAGAATAAATGACTGGCTAATCCAAAAAACCAAAACATTAAAGATTTGAGAGACCCCGATAGTTTCTATAGAACAATATGTCAGACAAAGCCTTGAGCTATGCTAGTATTACAGAAGATAAAAATTCCCATGTGAAAATCTTTCTAGTGGCTTATTATCTTTTCCCTATGACCTGCTCCCCATCCGGTTAGAAATATGTTAATGTTTTCTGGGTCTGTCTCAAGTACTGCTTCATTGCAAATACTTTCCTGTCCGTGTTAACTGAGGCACCAGCAGGTCAGTTATCCTAATTTGTTGTCAGTTATTTCACACCAATGTCCTCAAGTGCTTGCAGAGATTAGCATTTTGAAAATGGCCCTCAGCAGCACCATCAGTGCCAGGGAACAATGCAGCACGTATTGACTTGCAGGGGAATATTTTCAGCCAACGGTGAATGACCATCAGGAGTTTTTGACATTCATCTAGCGCCTGCCTGTAAGTAGGTGGGCTCAGTAAGTAGTAACTGCATTGACTGCTCACTTGCCATTGCAGATATTTCCCCTGTGCCATTCCCCTCCCAGAGACAGAGCAAACCTTCCAGGTCCTGATTCTCACTCAATGGGAAGTTCTTTAGTTTCCTGGAGGGAAATAAGACATTCCCCCAGTGCTACATTCATTAGTGTATTTGGCTGTAGAAAAAAATTAAGCCACTCACACAAGCGAGTAGGCAATAACTTTTGAAAATCACAGCCCTTCCCCCCACACCAGAAGATGAAAGCTGGTTATTTATAGTTATGAGGGTGTCCAAATGTTACCTTTGCTGCCCCAGGCATCAGTTACTCAGCCCTGCTCATCATCATCACCACCCCCACACATCAGACTACAAGGCTGTGCCATTTGTCAGTATACTACTTCCTGCCTGTCTCATAGTCATTTCTTCTCTGAAATCTCTTCAGAAACACAGAGGAGTAAACAAGGCACGACTGAAAATACCAACCCACAAATCCCGTTTGAAACACATTTTATTTTTATGTGCAGGGAGGGATTTCGAAGTTGCTAAACTTCCCAGGCTAAATCTTGTACTGTCTGCACATGGATGGTGCCGGGTGCAATCAATCAACACGGATTAGTGCCGCCATTTAAATCAGAAGAAGCAGATGACACTCCCTTAGAATTTAGGAACAATTTGGAGTCCATGTTTGAATTTAGCTGTTTGAGGAGCCTTATTTCATCTAGTCTGATTCAGTGCATGTGTTAGCCCATTGGGGACCCTAAGCTGGACTATTTCCCACCCACCCCCAAAACAAACAAACAAACACACACACACACATAATTAATAAGGGGGCCCTTGAGCTGTTCAGGGCTCTGAGCAATTGCTTGGTCTGTTTATGCCTAGTGCCGGCTCTGTCTCCTGTCACAAGATGTTCTTCTTGATCTAATAATTCCAATACTGGGGAAGGTTCTGATCTCATTCACATGATCAATGCCAATCCCACTAAGGTTGGTTCCTTCCAGAATTACAGCACAAACAGACCTTTCAAGTCTTCCCTGATGGGACTCTTTGTTCTACTGTCTCTTCTCTTTGCCTCTTAGCCTACAATTCTTTACTTGCCTTTTACTTTTTAAATGAGCACATTTCAAAATACTGTAATGCTCAGTAAATTGTCCATTCAATCAGCCCATGTGAATAATAACTTCTCCTGCCGAATCAAACTATGGGAACCATCTACATGTCAAGCTGGAGATGTAAATTTCCATCGGAGGAGACATATCGGTGCTAGTTCTGATCGAGCTAGCATGCTGAAAACTGAGCCCTCCACGGGCCCTGGCCTCGCCCATTTCCCCACCCCCAGTCCCGCCCAACTCCGCCCCTTCCCTGCCCTAA